GGGGGGTCGTTGGGTGGTGGAGCACACGGGTTCGATTCCAAGCACATGCAAGGCCCTGGGTTCGATTCCAAGCACCCAAATAAATAAATAGACAAAGTAAAATAAACGAACTAAAAATAAAATGGTTGTTTGGAGGTGATTTGTAACTACCACTAGGGGTTAGACTGAACGCATCTGCTTGCTGGAATCGGATCTAACTGGATTCATCCAGCACAGTGGCACGTGCCTGTCACCCAGCTACTTGGGATCCGAGGCAGAAGATTTGCAAAACAGCAGCAGCGACAACGATCTAATGGGCTTCAAGTTCAAGTTCTCCACGTCTGGGTCGCCGTCTGCTTCTCGGGGCTCAGTTTCCTCCTCAGTAGGAAAGCAGAGCTTGATTGAGTGGACATCTCTAAAGTCCCTGGCGTCCTAGATCTTTGAGAAAAGTTGTTTCTCTCCATTCTTCTCTCTTCCTCCATTCCTCCCGGCCACAATGCTGCTGAGATTTTTCTCTGAAGTAGGTGTGTTTCTGAATTTTGGGGGAAGCCCCAGGTCCCAGGAATCAGACCCTTATCTCATGCCTCCTTGAAGGAAGGAACGTGTTCTGTGGGTGAGTTCTGGGTTGGGACCTCCTTCTCTGCAGAGGGTTTTTTTTTTTTCCTAAGACAATCAGTCTGAGCCAACCTTGGTCTCTCGTTACCCAAGTGAACCGGGGATCGGGAAGCCTTTTTGCAAAATAGCTCCGACATCAAACGCAGCTTCCCCACTGCATCCTGAGAAGCCGAGGGTAAATAAATCAAAACCATGCCCTCTCCCCGTCCCTGGGAGCACACACACATGTAATTGCATTACGGTGGAATGAAGTGCTGCAGGGAATTGTGCTTGGGCCTTGGCTGAACCCAGAGTGCCCTTGGAAGAGCTTGAGTCCTGGGCCAAGGCAGGCAGGAGGGGGCTCTCTGCTCCTTCCTCTTCTGCTCTGGTTTAAATATCTGTGCCCTCTCCCCGCCCTGCCACTCCACAACTTCATATGTTTCATATGTTGAAACTCAATCCCTAATGGGAAGGTTCTACGAGGTGGGGTCTTGGGGGACAATGAGGATGGAGCCCTTGTAAAACGGATTAGTGCCCTTTTAAAAGAGGAGACTTTTTTTTTTTTTTTTAATTTTT